TATTCCTATAGTTTCATTATAATGTTTGGATTTCCACTAATGAAAAATCCTGTAGTTTGTAGATACTCTGGGGCCTTCTTTTCTTCTTTTCATAGGTACTTAAGCTAACTTTCCTTCATGCAGATTTTCGTATTTTATAATTTTGGTTGGGCTTCAAGTTAAAGGTTAATTTTTTTTTCCTTTTTAATACTTGACAATTTGAGCTGCCACTTGCTTCCTATTCATGATAAAAGCACAGCAGATAAATAGAGGCCTCCATTCACATGCAGGTGATAGCAAAGGAATTAAATACAGACTGCTGCATTGTCTACTTTCATTTCCCTGTCTAAGAAAATAGCTTACTTCGTTGGGAAAATACAGGAACTCAGCATTGTTCATCTTGTTCAAGCATAATACATAGAAGAAACTATTAATTCAAGCTTGCGCTTATATTCTTCATAGCACTTAAAAGTTCCGCCAGTCCTGTTGCCAGCTGTTCCCCCTTAATTAATCTCTGTGTGTATAATTTCCTTTTTCCCTTTTTTTTTTGTGGTTTTGTTACGCTGTCCTTTATTTCTGGGCCTTGAAATCTAAGCAGGTAATCACGCAACAGCCTTCTCTAAATTCACTTCCCAGTGGCTAACTTCTCTAGCTGATGTAGTAGGGTACAGAGGAAGAAAAGACTGGGGAGTGTGGGGATGTAGGCAAGGGCTTTCCCTTTCAATTCCTGGTACAGGTTGTCTGTGTGAATCTAGAAATGGTACCAGTGTTCATTTTTCTCTTATTTAAATGTTGGTGATAATACTTGAGGGAGGTGAGTGATGTTGTAAATCTTCAGGAACTGGGGCTTGTATTAGACTGGATTGAGACAGTCTGCGGCAGACAAGAGGTGCAGAGTTTCAGTGTATTTACTGAAGGAATAAAATTATCCTGAAAATTTACCTGTAGGGTAAATAGTAGGTATCTGCAGTTGGTTACTGAAAAAGTGCATCTGCTTTTGAAAGAGAACAGATTCTGGTGTTGGTCTTCATATTGAGACTTTGAAAAATGGGAGCGTTGTATATATTTATAAATAAGCATAGGATGTTAATGACAAGCATTCTTTATAGATGGCTCTCCTTAAAAGTTCTTGCATGAGTAACTGGAGGCAGTTGTTATCCTTCCACATTTGAGAGATACTTAGATGCAACCAAAAAAATTACTGCCTTTGCAGCATTTGCCTTTGTGTTCACAGACATAAAACTTGGTTTAATATCAACAGAAAGGAGATAGTAACTACTACCCTTTTCTCAAGAAGCTTTGTCGTAATTTTCATCAGTAGAGATTGTGAACAGTATGAGATGTTCTTCACATTGCGTCACTTTAAAGGTTTACAGATTTTACCGGGATAATGGCTTCAGACAGATGAAATGTGATTCAGGTTTCAACTCTTGCAAATGGTAACATAGCAGTGTAAAGGAGGTGAAATCTTGGAGACGCTGGCTTTGGATGGTATGGGATTTCTCTCAGTGTTTCTACTAGAAAGAAGGGTGCAAAAACACTTCTGATCTTTCTCTTCAGATACCAACTATATGAACACATAACCCTATCTGTGTTTAGTGTCTCAGAACCCTCTTAAACTGAAATCAGAAAAGTAAAGTTTTAAAACTATTTTTTCTGTCTTCATACTGAATTATATCAGAGTTACAGCGCATACAAATGGATTATTCAATATTTCAGGAAGTGTATGAATACTATAATCAACCTGTTTACCAAGATCTTTTGTGCAGGATTTTTTTGTAATTAAATCAGTACTCAAAGCACACTTCAATTTTGCTAACAGTAGTGCCTGATCAGAAGGCCATGAAGAATAACAGAGAGTGGGTGGTCCCTTGGAAGAGAAGCTGATCTCCTCACTTGGGTCTGTCCAAAGACTGAGTGACTGTAAATTGTGTAATTTGCTTTGAGAGCACAAAAGCTATTCAGTTATGTTAATCAGTGGGTCTGCATCATCACAGAGTTGAACTGTGCTTTTCTTGTTCTGTCTGAGAATTTTTTCTATAAATGTAGCATATATGTTCCATTTTCAAATAATTTATTATAGATCATAGGTCAGGATCCTCTTCTGATAAGCATTCTACAAAGGAATTTTTAAGAATCTTTAGAGTAAGACAGCGGGGAGTAGATGGACACAAGCAGGCACACAGCAGGGAGCCATGAGGTGACACTGATCACAAAAAAAAAAAGCCACAAACAAGTCAAGTGGAAAAACAACCCAGGGCTTAGCACATCAGCATCATGCTGAAAGTTTGAATGTGGACAAACCCTACTTAGGACTACAAAACACACTATGTAGTGTTTGTGTATATATATATATATATATATATATATATATATATATATAGTGACACTTACATATAGTGTAAAGACGGTCTTTCCTGTGTGTTTCAGCCATTTTTCATTTGATTGTTGCTGTGTTGTACATCAACTGCCTTATTCTTTTTTGAGTGTTTGTCATTTCAGTACAACTGGTGCTTGTGCAGCACAGGAGCTTGTTTATAGCAGTGATGGTTCACTGCTCTCACTGTCTCTTTCCTCTTCTTGACCTCCTCTTACTCTTCCTCTCTACTTAGAAAGCAGCTCCTTGCATCAAATCTACCCGAGATGCATCAAAATTACTTTTCCCTGAGCTTTTAAAACCATTTGCAGCCCTTTATGGTTGTGGTGGTTGGTTGGTTTGATTACCCCCACCCCCCCAGTCCTGCTGTGTCTTGTCCTTGTTGTTGCCATTCATTGTTGTTCCTCCTATTTTACCTAATTAATTGGCTGACATTCAGGCCAGTTCAGAGCAAAGGATACATGCATTCTCATCTGTCATATTTGCTCAGAATTTTTATTTATCAAGGAGACAACTTTGTCCCTTACTGTGTGTTGAGTATCTTCTGGTCTGTGTCTTTACTGTGCCAGCTTTTGGAGATTTTGAGTCCGCCTGGATACAGACTTAAGAAGTTGGGCTTCATGATGGGTTCTCAAAACTGCTTCCCCACTCCAGCAACCTGTTAACCCAAACTCATCTGTAAAAGTTGAAAGACTGACTTAAGACTGCCAGAGTCTGGGGAGGGGAGACAGGAGGCACAGAGTTAAGGGCTTTGCTGCCACTGGAAGTGGAGTGCCTCTCTGCCGGTGGCAGCTGCTTTGCTCTTTGCACACCTTTCACTTTGGTGCTCTAGACTGCTCTGTGCATGGGGAGGGTGCTTGCAGGCAGGACTGGTCCTGCTGGGTTTGCAGCCCCGTGCACAGGAGAAGAGGGTTTTGGGTGGAAAAGAGGGTTACCAGCACAGCACTGCTGTGTGAGCTGTGAGAATAAGAAAGGTGAAATGTGATGCTGTGTGGTCAGCAACTTTGCAGAAAAAAAGAAAGGGGGGTGTAAAATATGATGCTGTGAGAGTAAGAAAGGTGAAATGTGATGTTGTGTGGTCAGCAACTTTGATGAAAAAAAGAAAGAGGGTGTAAAATATGATGCTAATAGTTTAATGGCTGCTGGGAGATTTTTGGAGAAGTCTGGGAAGTTTATGACAGTTGTTGATAATATCATGCAAATCCTTATGCTTAACAAAGCTTTAATCTGCTATCAAGTGACACTAGCTACTGACATGGTGCTTAACTCTTATGCCCTAACATGTATAGCTGAACAGGAAATGTAAATATGAGATTGCTTCTTGTCATTTCTGGCTGAAAATGCCATCAGAGAAGGAGTGCTTGTCTTTTTTTTTTGTGCATTCCTGCATGTAGAGAGATCTTCAGGCAAGTGTGACTTGCCCAGTGGTTCCTCAGCCGAGGCATTTTCTGTGATGTGTTGTAATGGTTTGGTCCCTGTGGTTCTGTGGTGTTGGTGCTTCATGTGCGGGAGCTCCTGGCATCCTGTGGGATGGCCTTTGCACGGCCAGACTTCAAAGCTCACTCCTTCACCTCTGATTCATGCAGCAGCCGGGGCACTGACATGGAATCCTGCTGTGTTGGAAGTGGAAAAGAAAGTCTGCTGTGGACTGTTTTTAGAGAAAACTTTACAGACAAAGAATTTCCACTAGGAGCCCAGAACAGGATCTGGTACTTCCATGCATCTTTGTGGGAGGGAGTGGTTGGAGAGAGGAAGCAGCATTGGGCATACCAAGGCCAGCATGTGTTTTTCAGGGATCACTTATATTTTCACCAATGATAATTCTTGTTTTCAAATACATGACTTAAAAACGGGGGTAAATAAATTCCTAATATATCTTGTATGGTTTCAGATAAAAAAAGATTCTGGAGTAGGTGAGGCTCTGCTGCATCTCTGATTCTCACCTCCGGTTTTCTTTGTCTTTAAGTTGCCTTACCCATGTGTTTAACTTCAGTTGAAGTTAGAACCTTGGATAAGTTCAAGGTCAGACTTTGCCAGATTATGACCTCCACTGTCTTGATCATGAGCAGGCTGTGCCAGATAGATTCTTACTTGTCAGTTATGTCTGCTCAGCAGTAAGAAATGTAGCAAGGTACTAAAGAGTTTTTAATGTTCACTTTGAACAAGTTGATAAAACATGATGGAAATAAGCCAGAGATTAATTGAGTGCAGTTTGTTAATAGTACTGCAGCAATTCATGTAGTTTGAGTGGTGCCCATCAGCCTGGTTCCTCCCTTTACGTTCCTCTTTACAGCTTCGATCATCATCAGACTTCATTGTCCTTGAGTTTTTGGCAGCATTCTGCTTTGATCAGTCAGAGCCAAATCCCCCAGTTACTCCTCTGCAGACACTCTGCAGAAGTGTGCTGGTTGTGGTGGGTGTCCCTCGCCGTGCTCTGTCCTATTAAACACTGGAAGAGATGTTAAGTGCCATGTGCCAGGAGCGTATCTAACCTCTTAGGTGCTTACTTAATTTTGACTTGAAGAATGAGCCTTGGATGTAAGTACTAAAGATCTTTCCACTAGTGGTTCTTGATCTGTGTCTTCATCCCTCTCTTTGTCCCCCAAGAAATTAAAATTCTATGTGTTTTGTATGCTTTCTCTAGGTTATTTTCTTCCAAGTGCCCAGTAGTTCTGTCACCTTGCAGACTGAGAGGGTGAAAGTTGAGGAGGCTGATACTGAAAATACTGAGTAACAAAAGCCGAAGAGGGTGCAATAGTTTTGATATTTGATGTATCTCCACAACGAGGCCTGAGTAAAAGGTAAAGTTTCTTGGAAACTTGATTTACATAATGTGCAAAGGATGGTTATCAGATCAGTCAGGCAGTGGGGTGAGCGTGTATGTGTAAATTTTCTCATTAGTCACTCTTTCCTTTCCTTTTACTCTGAATTCCTGTCCTTCTGTTCCATGATTTAGTGGTGCTATTAAAAAATCAAAACAAATTACTTGCTTTTTTCTTCTTTTTTTCCTCTGAATTTCTTCCCCACTTCTGATCTACGTCTTTGCAAATCAGATTTATTCTCTCATTCCCTTCACTCACTGGTAAGTATATTCAGTATTGTCTGGGGAAGAGACATGAAATTGTTGTCTTCCTCTCTTCCCTCTGAGAAGTTTATTTGGCACGTTAATGAATTTCCTATATTCCCACGAGCAGCTCATAAAGGGGAGATTTCTTCTCCCAAGGGCAGTGAATGTGAAGTGATTGCCAGAGCATTGTTCTTCTAAATAGCTTATTTTTTTCTCTGTCTGGACCCTCCCCCCACAACTATTTTTAGAGTACTGTTTATGTGATAATTTGTGTTTAGCCTTCCTTGAAGTACCCAGTAGGTTAATGCAGACTCACCTGTGGGTTTGGTATTCATTGCAACTCAGATGAAAAACGTAACTCAAGTTTTCCAGGAGAGTTCAGGGATCCCTTAGCCCATCTCTTCCACTGTGCAATGTCACCAGTATTCAGCTGGGCTGTTTGAGGTGGCAAGGAGAAGATGGATCACCATGGTGAAGTGGCTGGATCGGTTCTCACAGTTCACATGTAAGCAGGAGTGTCCAGCAGCAGGGCTGCTCTGGCACAGAGCTTTGGGATGACTGGAATGCACAGCTGTAGGAGGAGGTGAGCCAGCAGCTTCTCCTGAGGGTGATGTTTCTGGACTTCGTCACACAGAGCGCTGTGTCCTGTGCTTGAGAACGAGACCCCCCTGAGATTAATTTTCACCTCCCCCCAGCTCCTTCAAGGCTGACGTACATGTTTTGTGTTCCTCAGAGCACAGGATGAGTTTGGTATGTGGGCTTGGCCATTCTGGCCTGCCTGCCTTGCTGCCTCTCAGAGGAACTTTTTCCCCTCTCCTGCACTCTCACTCAGTGAAGCTGGATTGCGTCCTGGCTGCAGCTTCTGCCTCTCTTCCCTGCTGTGAAAGGCTTGTGAACCTTGCTGTTGACCTCTCTCCTTTGCTAGAAGGTTTCTGCATCTCCAGCACAGTCTCTGTGTCTTGGGAAGAAGTGTTGCTTGCTTTCCCTGGCCAGTAGCTCAAGTAGTCACTGCCCCAGTTGCAGTGTTGTGCAAGGATTTAATAATTTGTGCCGATGAGCCCTTTCAGAAGCTAATGGGCCTGATAGGTGTGACATGACTCCTTAGAGGACAGTTACCAGCAACTTTCTAGTGTTCTTTTAGTAATGTTTTCTAGGTTTTGTAAAAGGTTTACTTCACCTTGGGCTTGCAGTGGTCCTGTGCTACAAGGCTGAAGACAATTGAGCAGTTCTGTTATGTTCTGAGCTCTGGTCATCCTGCCTCTGAGGGGCTCACACCTACAATAACCTGCCAAGTAATTGCTGTTGAAAATTCTACTGATGCTGTTGGGCTGTCAGCTGAGATTAATTTCTTTTGAAGTACAATACTCTCAGAAGTATTTACAGCAATGGCACAATCTGTGAGAGTGTTCACAGAAGTCAGCTAGCAGTTGTACAGAAGACTGCTCTCACAAACTAGCCCTAAAGCATTAGGGTAAACAATGTTGTTTTATTAAAAGAAGAACTGTCTCCTTAGGAGCACCTTCTTGCAAAGGGCCCTTTTTGGTAGGGAGGAAGTGAAGACCTGTGCAGCCAGGAGATAGGTGACCAGGACACCCTGCCTTGCTGCTATCATGGTGACTTTCTGGCGTGACTGTCAGAGCTGCTCTTAAAAACAGTGCCTTGTCCAGTTCCTTCCTATTTCATGGTTTCTCATAGCCAATTTTTCTACTCAAATCATTCGTATTTTAGTTTATTTATGGACATAAATCATGTGTTAAAATTTCAAAAAGCTTCTTGGTCACCTTGACTTTGAATGAGAATAGGCTTCAAGATGTAGCAGCTTTAGCAATGTTTCTGAAGCATCTGAAGTGGAGAGATGAGTGGGAAAATTACCTAGGTGGTAGTGAAGTAGTTAGCATAGATTTTTCACATCTACTCAGTTCAAACGTTTTTGCCTTACAATACCTCCTATAGTATTGACACCCATGACTGCTGCCAGTGCATCATGACCACACCTGGGCTTGGGTTAATATCTTACAGGGGCAACTCACATCTTTGATAATCTGATCCTGAAAAGATGTAGAGTGGTCATGGGCCAAAAAAAAAAAAAAAATCGTGTTGACCATGCTACCTCACCTGTAAACACAATTTGAGGTTGCTCCTCTACACCTTGAGGTGCACAAGGGAGATACTGAAGTCTCCTGAAACACTGCTCTGCAAGCTTGGGTGGTTGAGGTAGGTGCAGCTGTGGCAGCATTGCTCTTCAGGCTCTGTCTGGAGGCAGGGCTGTGAAGTTGTGATGCATTACATGCACTTCCACTCTGCATCTGTTTGTGCATTGAAATGTAAAACATTGTAAAATATTGCCCACTCATTTACAGTCTTGTTGGGGCAAAGCTTACCACAAGTGTCCTTATGGTGAACTTGCTGATTTGCGTTTAGGAAAGTGTACTGAATTCAGATAATCTTCTGGATTATTTTGTGCTGTTTAGCAGGCTGAACATCCATCTCCTCCCACTTCTGGTAGCACTGGAGGTGTTTTGAGTGCTTTCACTCTTGCACACTTTTCTTAACTGTCCTGTTTTGGTGTGCTCCTCTAGCTCTTTACATCTTTCTTCTCAACTTCTCCAGAGTACCCATAATTTACAGCAAAATAGCAGAAGTGCGTAATTTGGGCTTGCTTGTCAGTTTTGGGGTTGTCCCCAGGTTTTCTGGACAGAAATGCTTTTGCTCTGAAGTGGTGCAAAGTACTAAATCAGCAACACTGGGAGCATTTCTGTAGCTAATTGCTTTGCTATAAAATTCCTCGTGTTATAGAGGTTATCTGTGCAGTCATAACTTTTAGGTTGTCTTAGTTTTCAAACAGAAGATTAATTTTTGTAGAACCAGATTACACTGGTGAAGTTTTCTTACTCTCCAGGAGAAGGTGAATGTGTGAATTTTTCAGATTATGTGTTCAAAGAGAAATATTTTATTTTTTTCCCATGTAGTCAAAATGAAAGTGAACATTCAGGGTTGGGGAACAGGAAATAATAAACCATCCTTTTTCTACCCGGAACAGTACTGCTGCCTCTGCCAATGGGCCTCTCTGAGAGAGCCAGTGAAGTTGTCAAGCCCATCTGTTTTCATCTACTGACACAGTGCACCAAGGCAGCTGGAGGTGCAGACATACAACAAGCTAGGGTGGGAGGGTGGGGTTTATTTTTCTTTCCTTTGCTCCCTGAGCAGCAGAAATTTTTTCTTGCTCACTGACAGCATCACCGTTGTCAAGATTTTGGTAGTTGGAGTGATCTGAAGGGGATGGAAACTTCTCAGCTAGAAGTGTTGAAGGGGCACCTCAACAAATGTCATCTTAAGAAGCTGGTCTCAGCCTCACATGCATTTGTTTCAGTGTCAGTCTGGTGTTACTAACTAGTTTGCTGGGGGTAGGTGAAGCATCTACTTTAGGGGCTGCAGGCAGAATCTTTAATTTAAACAGCAGAATGGTTTGGGGTTTTTTTGATGAAGTAAAGGTCAGAAATGCTAAGGCTGCTATTAGCTGACTCAATCCTGGAAGAGATAAGAAAAGTGGTACTACCAGAAGTAGGACACACATAATTTATAATTTATCACTGTATAGGAAAACATATTTAATGTCCTGCTGTGCAACAAATGTATCTGCTACAGAATCACCAAACAGCGATAAGATGCTCTGCTTGTTCTTTTATTTCATCCTTTTTTTCACCTAGTTAAAAAGAAATTACTTTTGTTCTTTATTGTCCAGTTGATCTAAGAGCTTTATTTTCTGTGCTTGTATCTGCTGGGTTAGAAGAATGAATGATGAAAAGGAGCCTACCTTGAGGATTACATATTTGCTGCTACAGCATATATAAAGGTGTACCATGAAGTTCATATTGCAGGCAATTAGTGAACTTTTATTTCGGAAACATGAAAATGCGATTAACTGAAGGGAGCCTGAAGGAGTGTGCTGGCAGCCTCTCGGCTGGCTTAGGGAAGAGGCAGGCTGTTCTGGAGGTAGGCACAGAAGTGCTAGGTCACTGCAGTGTAGTTAATGGAACTAGACAGAGTTGTGGCATGACTGCGTTCGGAGGTCACAGCGGTGAGGGATGCCATGATTCAACCTGATGTAGCAAGGGAGCCTTGGCAGGGAGCCGCTGTGTTTGTAAGGAGCGGAGTAACCACAACTGCCAGCGGCCTTGAAAGGTTCCGCTGTGGCTTGCACTATGAATAGCAGGCACGGCTGCTCGGGTTAAAAAAAAAAAAGTAGATACCAGCAGGAGACACCGTGTGAAGGAGACATCAGTTCTGTCTCCCAATAACAATAGAAATTTGTGGTTCTGCACCTGTCATGGTTGTTGTAAGACAGAAAAGGATTGAAGATCACATAATTCCAAAACACCAATTACGCTGATGTGTGGGAGGAGTGTGGACAGAGGAGAGCCACCATAGTTCTGGTTTGTTTCAGTAGATGTGGAAAAGATGAGCTCCTTACAGTCTGCTGCTCACTACTGGTTTAAAAGACCTCCTATCAGTGGTTTTGTTCTGTTGCAGAAATCAGATGGGTTTGTTTTCATTTTAAAATGCTTTCTGAAAATGATTGGCTACATTAGCCCAACTGTAGAAATGTCTTAATCATTTGACTGCCACACGAATACATCTCACTTGTAGTTTGACTTGGAATTTAGACCAAAACTGTTAAACAAACTCTTAAGTTCTGCAGTAGGTTTTATTTTGTACAAGGGATGTGCTTTTCTG